TAACACATGGTACACATATATGGTACAGGAATCACATGGTACACATGGTACACATGGTACACATATCACGATTGGTACATGGTACACATATCATATGGTACACATATCACAATTGGTACACATAGGACACGTATCACAAGGTACACATCACATAGGACACATATCACGTCATGGTACACATAACATGTTACACGGTACACATAGTTCACATATCACATGGGACACATATCACATGGTACACGTAACACAGGGTACATGTATCACATGGTACACATATTACACGGTACATGTATCACATGGTAAATCAAAACATGGTACACATATCACATGGTACACGTATTACACGTACACATATCACATGGTACACGTACACATATCACATGGTACACGTACACATATCATATGGTATAATTATTTATTCCTGTTGGAAGGAAAATGGTCACTTTCTCTTTTTTAAGACTACTTTTTGTACATTCAACATTGATATGTAATTATAAATACTTGTGAACCAGGATTTAAACCTTTTCAAGTATGAGAATAGGTTACAATAAGGAAATTGTTATCTTTAGGAGCAAACTGACAAACTGTCTTCAGGGGAATGAGTAGATCACAATCAATAATCAAACTTCTAGAACTCTTAATGCTAAAACATGCAATCAAATCTCTACTAGAAATAATAATATAACTTATCATTCTTACATCGTACAAGTTGAATAAATAATCTGTCTTCATGCCCTTACTTTGTCAAGCATATGTGATTAGCCTAATATTATAGTTCACATCTATTCAAAAGGTAAAACTGATTTATCATGGCCTGAAGACACATTATTTAACTCATCTTCACAAGGAGAAATTCAGTCTCATACTTGAATTCATGCTCTCATCTCTCAAAAGCTCAGTTTCATTCAATCTTTGTTTACATTCCATCTCTGTTCAGACATCATTCTGCCTCATTGAATGTTTACTCCATGACATTTCAAATGTCGCCCATTCTTGGTTCAAAGTTCACTCCATCACTTTCAAAAAGTGTAATCCATTTTTTTTCATCTCCTTTCCAAGTGTTCATTTTCTTCTGCATCGCACAACATAATCCACAACTCTTACTAATCTGTCATGCCAACACACCCTAGTATACATTTGTACACACAACTATAACCTAGCATACCTCTTCACTCATGAGGGGGTCAACATAATAAGGCCACAACAGAGGTCAACTTAAACAGGAAGTCAGTAAAACCATGTAATAATAAAAACAACCTTAACTGACCACATGTCTCACATGTAGCTATGGAAGCATAAAAGGAAGTGGAGTAACATTTGTAAAATCTAGGCCCAACTCTATCAAAGTAAAATCCATGAAATCACTTGACTACATTGTGCGATTTGAAATAAAACTGCTGGATAGGAAATAAACTAAAGTCGAATTTCCTTCATACAAAATTAATGTAGGTAGTCAAGTTCATTCATATACAAATATAGACTTGTCTGGTTTACAGAGGTTCCATAGACAGGGTTACTCTCATTAGAAGCTAAGTAACCTTTCTGGATAACATGGGTTTCTGGTTTAGACAGTGTTGCCGTAATTAGTATCTTCATAACACTGGGGTTTCTAGTTTAGATAGGTTTACCCTGATCAAAGTCTTCATAACTTGTCTGAATAACAGAGGTTTCTGGTTTAGATTATAAGGTTTACCCTCACCAGAAGCTTCATCCCTTGTCTGGATAACAGAGGTTTCTGGTTTAGATAGGTTTACCCTCACCAGAAGCTTCATCCCTTGTCTGGATAACAGAGGTTTCTGGTTTAGATAGGTTTACCCTCACCAGAAGCTTCATCCCTTGTCTGGATAACAGAGGTTTCTGGTTTAGATAGGTTTACCCTCACCAGAAGCTTCATCCCTTGTCTGGATAACAGAGGTTTCTGGTTTAGATAGGTTTACCCTCACCAGAAGCTTCATCCCTTGTCTGGATAACAGAGGTTTCTGGTTTAGATAGGTTTACCCTCACCAGAAGCTTCATCCCTTGTCTGGATAACAGAGGTTTCTGGTTTAGATAGGTTTACCCTCACCAGAAGCTTCATCACTTGTCTGGATAACAGAGGTTTCTGTTTTAAACAGGTTACCCTCATCAGAAGCTACATAACTTGTCTGATGAACAGAGATTTCTGGTTTTGATAGGGTTACACTATTCAGAAATTAATTTCAAGAGGTTTAACAACTTTAAAAGAACATTTCATAATTTTCATTTTATAAATAGTTTACTACAAGAAATAATTCAGAAACAAAATTTAACATGGTATGTAATTTAAAGAAAACATGACTTGATAATTAATGTGTTAATTCTGAGACATTAATCCATAGAAAGTCTATTATATTTATAAAATTAATGGAATAGGTTTATCATCTGTCAACATGGGTCCTTTACAATACACTGATAAGACTTTTATCGATGTCAGGCTTTTCAATCAACTTTGAAATCAGTAAAAATATTGCAGACATTATGGTTTGAACACTTTTTGAGTTGATGATGATAGTCAGCTGAGTTATAAACAGCACTGATATTTCCTGTTCTCAACATTGTATAAAAAGTATGCTACAAGAAATGTGAACACTTACTAACGAATGAAGACTAGCAGGTAATGATGACACTAAACCTAGATTTGCTTACGGTCGATTCTTTGGAGTTTAAATATTGAAATAGCATTAAAATAAACGTGATGACACAAGGCAACTCTGTATGTTGTTTCCACCTGTATACTTAGTGGTGTTATTATCTCCTTGTAAGACACATGTAAAATACAAACTTTATTCTCATGTTGTTCATATCACATTCCTCCGATAATTCATGTTGTCTATTTATCACAAAATCTCCGATGTTTTATGCTCTAGGAATCACTTGGTAGTTTTACTGACAGCATACTGTGTTAAGAATGAACCGGTCTTACCACAAATATGTTTTAGTGAGTATAACATGCCAACCTGTGAGAGTTATTTCCCTTGACAAAAGAACAGTATGACTCCAATCAGTACCTCACATCAGGAATAACTTACAACATTACACTTTTGTTGCAGACTTTGCTGCAAATGATGTTGTTCTAACAGTAAATTATAGCTAGCCTTGAATTGAATAATGATTGACAGGTATTGTTCATCAGTTACCATACAAAAGGCATATATTATTGTGGTATAGCTGCAAATGAATGAAACGAAAAAAATATATGAATGTGATGTAAAGTCTTATAACGACCGTGAGCTGTTCCACAGATGAATTAAAACGTTCTCCTGCCTGACATAGGCCTGCAATCCTCCGAGGATTGGAGAGGGTTGGGAAGCTCCAAGGCAAGAATCAAACATCTCTCCTCTAGATACATCTACTGTAGTAATAGTACAATGTTCAAACTACTAAATACAATGTATTACATACAATGTATTACACTGTTCATATAACTACAGTGTAGTACATTGTATTATTCATGTATTACAAGTTGTCACATACAATTTATTACAATATCTTACAATGTACATACAATTAAAACAATATCCATCTGATACATTGTAATGAATGTATGTCTAACACCAGATTGTAAACTTTGTAATGTTTCTGACAACGTTGTGTATATGACACACGAACACCTATTCATATCTAATATCACAGTATCGCCTGCACCTCAGGCAGATTATCTCAAGTCATACACACCCAGCAAGGATGTCTCATCCATCAGACTCCGACTGAGCCGTAAAATTACTTCACCAGAAATATTCCACTATTTTGTTACACTGAACATGTTTCATCCTCAATGTTCCCTGTTCTCTTACACTTATAAAGTCGGATCATTCAAATGTGTTTACAATGATTTATTTTGCACCGAGATATTCAACAATTCATAATGAATATTCATGGCCTCCTATGTTTGCCCCTGAAATTATTCCATGTGATTTCAAATATGAGTTGATAAGAATGTGTAATGAGGATGTAATTACCAGTATATCCACACTGAATGTATAGTGCAATATTGCAAGAAATTCAAAACGAACACCAGGAATTCAAAATCATGGCTCATCCACAATTTGTGTCAAACATTTGACATGTTCATTGTTGTGACTGAATATTGAACTAAGTAGAGTTACAACCCCGAACACCGAGTCAGTCCCTAACAACAACACCGAGTCAGTCCCTAACAACAACACCGAGTCAGTCCCTAACAACAACACCGAGTCAGTCCCTACCAACAACAGGACCAATAATACAGTCTCCCAATCCTCAAACTGTCCAACATAGGATCACTGTGTCTGTTTGGTCTACTCTGTGTTAATTGTCTGTCAGGTTGAGACACTAAAGACATAACACCTCACATTAGTGCACAGAGCCAATGACTGGAATCTCCCTTATGAAGACTTTTGTAGAATTACAGTGACATTGCACCACACTAATGTATCAACATGTGTGACAGATGGTTATTGTAGCTTGGGAATGAACACACCTTGGTCAGGTATTATTTCATCCAGTAATGCCTTTTCCTTATTCGCAACATCTATTAGCTAAAAATATTAACCAACACTGGCAACAGTCTCCTATTTCCTGCTTCAGAAAATATCCACTGTTGGAGTTATCTCCCTTTAATCACAGACCCGACATTCCTCATTGTCGTTATCATCACAGAAAAAAGTTTGAAATCCTTCAGTCCAACTTGTTAGTGTACATACGATAATGTGGCACAGTTCATCAGGTCACTAGTTCACAGCGTACAATGTATGTTACCTCACAAATATCACCTCCAGTAGTACCACCTCTATCATAAACCACACTGGCCCTTCAACAGGGGATGCACTATTCATGACAATTATAAACATGTCTGACCCTTAGGGCTACCATAGGATCCATGGTAGCCTCTGCATCATCCATACTAATCACAAACAGAGTGGATACATCATCTGTATCCATGGTAGCCACTGCAGTATCCATGGTAACTACAAGCACATTGGATACATCATCTGTATCCATGGTAGCCACTGCAGTATCCATGGTAACCACAAATATCCATGGTGAATACAAACACTGGATAACTACATTGTAGATGACTTGTCAGTGTCCATGGTCTGCTACTGTAGTATCCATGGTAACATCAAATACCAGTACACTTCTTGTTGGTGTTCATTGCAGTATCCCTGGAAACCTGAGGCATGGCAGCTACATTTTGAGCGTGTCCATCATGGACGAGAAGTCAGAGAGACGTTGATAGTCCGGATCCTCCTCCTTCTCGTCCTTGTCGCTATCCTTGAAGGTCGGGTTGTTGGATTTGTGTGGCAGACGTAACGTACACGGTAACATCTCCGACATGACGGTGTGATGTGTGACTAGAGCGATCAGATCTGGCCATTCCTTCTCCAGACCCTAAAACACACAATCAAATACTGACAATAAAGATTACCTTCACAAACATTACTGGACATATGTACTACTGTCCTTAATTCTCAGGTATTCCTAGTCCAGTAAAGCTTACTGCAGAAAAGGATGAACATTTGCACGAAAATATGCATAATTACTTTCACTTATTCTGTAATTATGGTAGGGTCAAATAAGGATATAGAATAATATGTTTTAAAACCTGAGTGTCCATAAAATGTTGAAGATTTTTCACCTGAGAGTGAATAAAATGTTGAAGATTTTTCACCTGAGAGTATAAAATGTTACATCTCACCTTTAACTTTACTCCTCGCTGTGTCTTCAGTATCAAGTAATGTGAGATGCCTGTGGGGTTCTCAAACTTGGGAACACGGACTGAGAGAGCATAACACCCCGGGTGCGTGGAGCTGTCACGCACGATAAACGATCCAATGTCCTCTTGCTGAAGGATCTCCAGGGCGATCTCCCGTGGAATCCCAGCCTGGTACCATGATGCATGGCGTAGCGTTTCATCCTCAATGTGGCTCCGATCCAGTCCCATCAACGACTCGAGTCTGCAAAACAGTAACAAACAAAGCCCTTGAAACAAATGTTAATTTTGCAGCACTTTTTAACTAGCTGTCCCTTTGATAATTTGTCCCTTAGACAATCGTAATGAGCATTTCCTGCAAAAAATAGTTCTGTATCCATGAAATTAGTTTGTTAGTTATAAGAATGTGATAAACAGCCTCTTCCTCATACAGGATCCTAGAACACAAAGGGAAGTCTGAACATTTCCAGATACTCTATAATACCAATAGCAATTTTCAAAGTCTTACTTCTTGTGATATCTCATCGTAGATTGAGTCATTTCTAACAGCAAGGTAACAGCCCGATGGATGACAAGGAACAGTGACAGTAATTAAAACTAAACACTGGAACTCTCCAATGTGCCATTCCCGGTTTCCATCACTACCATGTTAAACATGGTGGTAAATGTTGCCCCACCCTGACAAGTGAATTCCGTGGAGGGAAGAGTTTTTACACTGAGGCAACATGGTGAATGTCTTTCCGGCATGAAGGTATAACATCCTTACAACATCAACAGATAACACAGCCTATCGCATCAGAACTGGTAATCAACAATTAACACAGCCTATGGTACCAGAACTGGTAATCAACAATTAACACAGCCTATCACACCAGAACTGGTAATCAACAATTGACACAGCCTATCGCATCAGAACTGGTAATCAACAGTTAACACAGCCAATCACACCAGAACTGGTAATCAACAATTAACGCAGCCTATCGCATCAGAACTGGTAATCAACAATTACCACAGCCTATCTCATCAGAACTGGTAATCAACAATTAACACAGGCTATCGCATCAGAACTGGTAATCAACAATTAACGCAGCCTATCGCATCAGAACTGGTAATCAACAATTAACGCAGCCTATCGCATCAGAACTGGTAATCAACAGTTAACACAGCCAATCACACCAGAACTGGTAATCAACAATTAACACAGGCTATCGCATCAGAACTGGTAATCAACAGTTAACACAGCCTATCACATCAGAACTGGTAATCAACAATTAACACAGGCTATCGCATCAGAACTGGTAATCAACAGTTAACACAGCCTATCACATCAGAACTGGTAATCAACAATTAACACAGCCTATCTCATCAGAACTGTTAATGAACAATTAACACAGCCTATCGCATCAGAACTGGCAATCAACAGTTAACACAGCCTATCACACCAGAACTGGTAATCAACAATTAACACAGCCTATCGCATCAGAACTAGTTATATCACCACAGAATTCTACTAGACAAGTCAAAAGCATGAAGTGTATAGAACACATCAGTATATCTCTACAGTATGTCATGAAGTTTGCAATCTCCATGGTTGCCAAGCCCCAGATAAAATCTGAATGAATTGTCCCCTTGTTTTATTGTTTTACAAGGTAGCACCAGTAAGTAGCTATTTTTCAAAGTCCAAGACGTGATGACTAATAGCCAGTAAATTACCTCGTTTGTACAACTGTTAACGTGTACCTGTGTCTAGGTCTACAATCCTCTACAACACTGTAGAGTACAATGCCTCATTTATCATTGTACAGAATATTAACACGAAAAGCAACCTACTACAAACCCATTCTAACATTAATTTATCAGAAATGACATTTAGAAGCAAATTTCCATGTACATGTTCATATTATGTGCATGTATCCTGGAACTGGCAGATGACACTTTTATGTAACATTCCAACTACATTTAAAACATAGGTTTTAAGGATTAACTATAGACAATCATTTCAGTGGAAAACCTGCAGACTTAATGTATAACACTTGTTATGTAAAAGTTCCTAGAAACATCAATAGTCGCCCACTGTCCACATGCTTTCATATACACTTCTATTTGAGAGAATATATCATCCGTATAAACCATCTGATCATTCTGTTCACACCAACACAGTGTTTGAGATAGGGAGATGAATGATAGCGATGGCATTATGACAGTTTCATTAGGATATTTTTTGTTTTAATCGGAATCCCACAGAATAAAAGTGATAGAAGACACCTTAGCTATATGGTAACTCTAAAGCAGACACTGCAGGATGCCAGATATCGATCTCTGGATCAGATGGCGCCAGTATTGATGGATTATAACAGGTGGAGATAACTCACGCAACAATTATTGGCAAAAATATTTAACTCCAGAAGATGGCTCCAGGTCAAAGTTTTACAAACTGTATATGACGGCTCTAGACCGACGTTAAATACGCTGTATCAGATGAGGCCCTACCCCTCAGACATTTCCGCCATCACTACTCCGTTGTCTCCTATACTTGGTAAAAAACTACATGATTATCTCAAAAATTAAGATGTCTCTGATGCAATTCAAAAACTTATTTCAAAACAAATCATTGGCCATATTGATTTGTGCTGGGCGACAGTGGAGTGTTGGCAATATGGACATATAGCCATTACTTAACTGAACATTCTATACATTTGTTAACAGTATATACCATTAAGCTTCTTGGTAACCTATTTTCAAATTTAAATCCTCCAACACACAGACACATTGCCTGTTCCATTTCTCCCGAGGGTATGATTATGAGGTAATTTACTTACGTTTTGTGTTCTAATACAATCCATTGTAAGGCCCTGTAGAAACACTTTAGTTTTACAGATGTGGCCTGATTGTTTATAAATACCAGGCACACAGACCTGCATTTTCTGAATTACATGCGGCTGACATCAGTTGTAACATCCAAGATATTCACCTTAACTATTTATCATATATTATTATTATCATTTGTAAAATGTCAAAAGATCATATTTCATTAGGAAAATATGTATAATTCTTTTCATAAGAAAGTTTCAGTAGGAAAACTTATTTTCATATTTGAATCAACTTGAAAATTAAAACAATTCAAAATTAAAATAATTTTCACCAAACCTGCTGTTATAGAAGTACATATCCACAGTACAGAAATACCAAGCTCTTCTTAGGAATCTATCACTGCAAATCTAGTCCAAGTGATTATACAGTAAGCTTTTTAAGAGTAACCTGACACTGAGTCTGTCATTTGAGTTAGTAATTTCACACTTAGTCTGAGCTTGTCCCCTAAGGATCTGACAGACAGCTCATCTAACTAGTCATCTCACATTGAGCTTCACAAAGTTATTTTACACAGAGGCTGAGCTTGTCCCCAAAGGATCTGACACAGAGCTTTTACTAGTCATATCACACCAAGCTCGACATAAAGATTCACACTGAGGCTTAGCTTGTTTCTAAAGGAACCGACACTCCGATCATCCTAGGAATATGACATTAGCTTGTCATAAATAACGAGCACAAAACACAACATTACTTTTTACCAGAAACAAAAATAACAACACTGTCATTATATACTATCATACAAAATATCTGTCCTAAATACCAAACAATGTATTGGGATTATCTAATGCACAAGTCATGCATAACATATATACATCATCTCCGATAACAACCCAGCACTCCAGCTAAAGGTCAAAGGTCACAGGCAGATATCATGAAGTATTAAAGTGACTTGACCCCAACATTTGTAAATGTCACTGTTATCTCAATAAACATCTCAATTATATGAAAAGGTCATAAGTATTATATAGCTCCTGTAAACAGTAAAACACAACCTGCGTCAACATTAAGGTGTCTTGTGCCTCATATCAATCAAATTACATATCTCTCCAGTGAAGCACAACCACTAAAATGTTAATATATTTGATAACAGTACATATTTTTGAGAAAAATTCAGTACAAGACAGTTCTTTGTGGAATTTCAATCAATTATGCAATGTATGTTTTACTGCCTATACAAATACACTAGATTTGCATATATTTTGCCGATGGGACATGTCACTTTAATATATGCATCCGCTCCAGCTGCAGTGCTGAAAGTCATCAGAATTCTACACAGACATCCACATGTTTCCTGTCAGACTATCCATCACACTTCCCTACCTATTTGTCAACCTGACAGCGACAAATATATATTTTGTTTTATCTACCTTTATTGTTTAAGGAATGATTCACCAATGATCATGACTGACACCGAGAGAGATAGGTACACAGATATATAGGCTAGTGTAGTCAAGTCTGTATAAAACATGTATACTAACAAAGGGCCACTGTATCTCTTTGTACATTTCTGATTGTGATTGGTGTAGACAGGTTTCACTGTATCCCTTCACTTCTAGGGCCGTATTCTACAGAAGTCATTATACAGAGGCAACCACATTCACAAAACTACCGGTAAATATGAACTTTATTTACGGAGAAAAACCCACATGGTCTGGCATGCGCAGGTGACCCCATACCTTTTCACATCTGATCGTGAAATTGATCCCCGGCTGCCTTTGTGAAAGGCAGGCGACTATCCAGTATGCCACAAGACTACATATTATATCCTCATAATTAGATGTCACCTTATAACTAACTCTGAAGTCAACAGGAGTCTCCATACTCAAAAGCTATGGAGAACAAAGTGAGTGGGGTCCTGTAAAGATACACCACCCCTTAAGTGGCCAAAAATGACTTTTAACCCTTTAGCCTTGACCGACAACCACCAAACTTTAGCCTTGACCGACAACCACCAAACTTTAGCCTTGACTAACAACTAACAAACTTTAGCCTTGTCCGACAACCAACAAACTTTAGCCTTGACCAACAACTAACAAACTTTAGTCAGGTGTAGAGTTCTATGTTTTCATATCACATTATAAATATGAATTAAACTGGTTGAGGGGTTTACTAGGTATCTTGTACAAGCATTCTACTACACAAGGATACACAGACAGACCGACGGACGTCACGAACATGTTAGGAACAAATAAAGTAATCACTGCATGAAGCACCCTCCTTCTTCCACCAATAGGGCGTACATTTATAAAGAATTATAGGTAATTACTATATAGCTTAAATAACATAAAATTTAATTGGTAAATTAAAAAAATAAACAGTTTAAACTGACAGGTATTTGGTTACATTACAGGATTGAAATGTACTAGCTACACT